TGTTAGTGTAGCCACAAAAACCCTCGAGAGAAAGCTGCAATCCCGATCTTGGCCCATCCCAAAACCTAAAATACATACTCCCGCCGTCCCAAAATATAAACATTTTTTTAGTATAGTGATAAATCAATTATTTCTAACTTTGACCATTAGTAACAAAAAAAATAAAAAAAAAGATCAATAATGTAAAATTGATGTTACTAGATTTATCATTAAACAAATTATCATAATATGCAATACTTTTTATTTTAAAACATCTTACTTTACAGATATTGTTGGTTAAAGTAGCATCTCAGAAACCGTGTCAGGGTCTAAAAATGCTTATATTTTGGGACGGAGGGAGTAGTATTTTGCTAGTTTTCATAATTGAATAGTTATTATTATTATTCTAAAATAAAAATGTATAAATATTGGTATTTAATTTATTTTTTGGACTTGTTTAGGCTTTGGAATAGGTTTTTGGGTGAAAATATAGGCCAAAGCTAGCCTATCAGGCTCCGTTTGGCTAATAGGTTATACCCATTGGGAAATGGATATAATATCCTGGTAGGATGTGGTGGTAGTTTAGAGCAAGTATAATAACAAAATTTCAGTCAGCTATAAGCCTGTACAGCTCAGCTTCGTCTGACGTGGTGGAGAGAGGCAAGATGAGAGAGAGGGGATCGGGCGCTTATGCAATCGCCAGCCTTGGCACAGGCGCCTAGAAAACTTAGCCGATTATCTTCATCAGCCATTTACTCTCATGCATGCATTGGATGATGGTGGGCCCTCCTCCATATAATAAAATGAATGATTAGTATTGGAGTATGTGTTATGCAGCTGGTTGATACAAAGATCTATCTATTTGATTGCTTTTAGATGACGTGTCATTGGCTTATAGCTAACTGATGACTCTCTTATTAAACTTGCTCTTATATGAAGGGAAATTTTATCCCATGTTTGGTTGGATGGATTGGAAAAGGAAGTTTCTAGAAGAATGACCAAAATGCCCCTTCAAACTATGCTAAATGAGTAAACAAACAGCACAGCTATTATCTATAAGTTCAAATGGTGAGGGTAATTCAGTAATTTTTCCTAGCAGTCAATCCACCCTCAATCAAGCAGGATTCTATATCCCACTCCCATCCACACCCAAACGGTGGAAATATGAAAAATGGAAATAACATCCATTTCCCACACTCCTCATCCCATTTGCCAAACAGAGCCTCAAATGCAGGCTGCCCATAAACAGGTCTAGGCAATGGTATTTCTGTAAACATTATATTTAGCTACCGCTCTTTACGGCATGAGCTCATCTCTATCTACATCAATCAATGCACTTCCTCTATAAAAATATCTCTTGAAATAAATCTAGAAAAAAAATCAGCATATAATCTTTTACAACTAAATTTGTCCCGGCATTTACTAAACGCCATATTTACACCAACCAACACACAACTCAAGTGACACTTGTACCACTACCTAAGTGACGCTGGATTCCACCCTTGAATCCACATATCAACAGATCATATTCTCCCATCTAAATCCCTCTTTGATTTAAGTTTACTAGGATTCTCTTTCCTTCCACGAGCGCAGGGGTGGTGATGGCAAACCTCAACACAAAACACAGCACAACTATTAAGAACGTTTACAACTTAGGTGATCCGTAGTTGACAAGGAGGTAGATGTTCTTGCTAAAACGACATGGGGTAACTTCGTCTTGCCGTGCTGAAGCCCAGGAGGCATGAGGAGTCGAGGAATTGAACCAACGGTGATAAATCGTTAAAAACTAGTGAAAGGGGAAGTAAAAGAGAAATTGAACTTGTAGGGGTCCTTTTACGAAAGTGAGTTGTAGGGGGAAGGGCAGAAAGACTAGTGAACTTATAACGGTTATTTTCCCCTATATTGAGCCCTGATCCCTAGATAAAGACAGGGTTTGTAACTCTTGCTTGCCATTCTGAATCTTCATGGAGTCCATATATATCATTGGAATTTTGGCATGTCCAATAGCGCTTGTACCACCATATTAGCGTAGTCGATGTCTTTCTCTCTTTTGGGTATTAATCTCCCTTGTCATAGTTATGGAATGTCACCAGATCATCTCCTCTAACCGGATCCACATCTGTACTTGTGAATAATAGAAAAGTTTTCGTACCACCACAATTTGAACATCGTAAATATCTCAAATTATGATCTACATATGAAATAAATGTGATCCCCAGTTGAAGATATTGATCCCTTTCGCACATTTGGGCAGCATGCCATCTTCAACCACAGTATGCCAAGGATAGGCATGTCGAATAATGCGGGTTATCTTGGGCCATGAAAAGTGCGAGGAAAAACTACAAAACTGAGCTAGTTTTCATATCTGAATAGATATTATTATTATTTAAACAAAAAAGTATAAATATTAATATTTAATTTTTATTTTTGGGCTTGTTTAAGCTATGGAATAGGTTTTTGATAAAAATAGAGACCCAAGCTAGCCTATCAATGTGGGTTGCCAATAAATAGGTCTAGTCAATGGTATTTTCGTAAATATAATATTTAGCTACCACCCGTTATGTCACGAGCTCATCTACATCTACATCAATAAATACACTTCCTCCTGTAAAAATATCTTTTGAAATAAATCTAGAAAATAATTCGACATATAATCTTTTGCATCCAAATTTGTCCCAACATTTACTAGACACCAGATTTATGCCAACCACCATATACGTCGAGTGACACTTGTACCACCACCTAAGCGATGATGTTTTCCACCCTTGAATCCATGTATTAATGGACCATATCCTCGCATCTAAATCTCTCTTGATTTAAGTTTTGTAGGATGTCAAATCACATCCCTTTGCACTTGTGGCTCCTGGGGAGGGGGGTTGGGGTGGGCGCCCAACTTTTGGTGTTAAATCAAGTGTTCGCTTTGTAGTCGGTTCTGATCCTGTTAGGAAGATTTACCAAAATCCATATCACACATTTGTGAAAAATAGAAATGATTCCATATCATCATTTGAGAATAGTAAATATCTCAAATTATGATCCATATATGAAATTAATGTAATCCCCACCTTTTTTTTAAAAAAACTAATGGAATCCCCACTTGAAGTTCTCTATCCCTTCCACACATTTGGGCAATGTGTCATATTTGCCCATAGTCTGCCAAGGGTAGATATGCCAAAGTAGGTTAAGCCGGGTCATGAAAAGCCCGAGAGAAAACTACAAGCCCACACTAGTTTTCATATCTAAATAGTTATTATGTATTATTTAAACAAAAATGTATAATATTGATATTTAATTTATTTTTGGGGCTTGTTTAAGATCTAGAATAGGTTTTTTTTGGATGAAAATAGAGACCCAAGCTGGCCTATCAATGTCGGCTACCCATAAACATATCTAGTCAATTTAGTCAATGGTATTCTCGTAAACATTATATTTAGTTACCACCCATTACGTCATGAGCTCATCCATATCACATCAATCAGTGCACTTCCTTCTGTAAAAATATATCTTGAAATAAATATTGAAAAAAATGAATATATAATCCTTTTGTGTTAAGATATGTCTCAGCATTTACTAGATGCCAAATTTACACCAACTAGCACACAACTCAAGTGACACTTATACCACCACATAAGCGATGTTTGTTTCCACCATTAAATCCACATATTTATGGACCATATTCTCGCATCTAAATACGTCTTGATTTAAGTTTAGCAAGATATTTAATGCACGTCCCTCCACGCCTGTGGCTCCCGGTGCCCGACTTTGGTGTTAAATCAGCCGTTCGATTTGTAGTTGGTTCCGATCCTGTTTGAAATATTTCCTAAAACCCATAGCACACATTTGTGAAAAACTGAAATGATTCCATACCATCATTTGAGCATAGTAAATATCTCAAATTGTGATCTACATATGAAATGAATGTAATCCCCACTTTTTTTTTTTTGAAAACTAATGGAATCCCCACTTGAAGTTCTCTATCCCTTCCACAGATTTGGGCAATGTGTCATCTTTGCCCATAGTCTGCCAAGGGTAGACATGTCAAAGCAGGTTATGCTGGGTCATGAAAAAGCTGAGAGAAAACTACAAGCCCGAGTTTGGCCCAGCCTATAACCTAAAATACTTATCAGTTTCCATATTTGAATGGAGTAGTTATTATTATTGTTACTCTAAAATAAAAAAAAGTATGAGTATTAATATTTAATTTACTTTTTTGGTTTGTTCAGGCTTTGGAATAGGTTTTTAGGATGAAAATAGAGGCCCAACCTAGGCCGGTCAAGGCGGGATGCCCATAAACAGATCTAGTGAATTGCATTTTCATAAACATTATATTTAGCTACCACCAGTTATGACATGAGTATCACACCTATATCTACATCAATCAATGCACTTCCTCCTATATAAAAAATATCTCTCGAAATAAATCTAGAAAACAAATATAACATTATAATATTTTGCAACCAGATTTGTTTGGTATTTACTAGACGTCAGATTTACGTCAACAACAACCTAGCTCAAATGACACTTGTACCACCACCTAAGGTCTGGTGTTGGTTTCTACCATTAAATCCACATATTAATCATCCTCACATCCAAATTTGTAATAATATAACTTTAGTAGGATATCAATACGCGTCCCTCCCTCCATGCCGCGGCCGCCTATAAAACCACCCCATAGCCCTTCCCCCCTCCCCCATCGGCCATCCATCTACCATCACATTCACAAACTCACAATTTTTCACATCACCATGTTCTTTAGTTCCTTAGGCTTGAGAGCAAACCCTACCCAGGGTAGCCCAAGCTGGATCTGAACTTTGTGTTCTTCACATAATCAATCACACACACATCCCGACCGGGTCCGAATAGAAGTATAGAACACAAAGAGGGGGCTGACGCTGACCGGTGGGGCCCACCGGCCCGGCCCGACCACAACTCCTAGTGGGGGTCCCCCGTGGTGCAGCGCACGTGCGAGGTCGTTACCCCTCTCCGACTCCCTCCCCCGTAAAACCAAGCCGCGGACTTCTCTTTTTTCTTTTCTTTTCTCTATGGAGATAGCTTCCGCGGCCGCCCACCAAATCTCGCCCATGGTTTCCTCCCGCGACCCCGGCGAGGAGGCCAGCGCGCCGCCGCCCCCGCCCCCGCGCCGCGGCGAGAAGCGGCGAATGCGCGGCCGCACCCCGTCGCCGGAGCCGGCCTCCGCGCCGCAGGTACGTGCTTACGAGGCCGGATTTGCATGTGGTGTTAGTAGGGTAGATCAGGGGGGAACACGCCGCCTTCTTCGTCGTCGTACGTGGTGGTGGATTCCTTTTTGTTTGTTATATATATAATTTTTGTTCCGTCTCGCCCTTCACGTTTCGAGGAACTGTTCATTTGGTAGGCGACTGTTGCACGTAAGGAATCGTTGCCGTGGGTTTGGGGTTCGTTCGTTTTGATTGGAGAGGATAGAATTCTGTCTGTATGGATCGTGAATTTAGTTCTCTGGTATGGAGCATGTGGGGGGAGTTTCTATTTGTGTGTTGTTTGGGTGCTATCAGGTCGGATGAGTAGCAATGAGATGCGAATTTCTGGATGCGATGCGTTTGATTTGGGGTTCTTAGATTAGGTCGGGAGAGCATTGGGTGGATCGATGAATAATGTGTCCTAGAGAGAAAAACTTATGGATCCTGAGAATTGTAGGTTTAAAATTGATATGCGATTCGGATGCCGCAACAGATTGGCATCTTCCCCTAGGTAACTCTGGGTTCTGTTGTTCCTGATTTGAGATTAAAGGAATAATTTCCCCCAACCTATCATGTCGATCTGTAAATTGGTGATGCAAATTTGTGTGTGATTTCAGTGGCTGTAACTAATTCGATGTTCTTGGCCTATTGGGGGAATTTGGGATTTGGCCCGGCGAAAAAACTTGGATTTGCCCTTGTGCTAGTAGATTGACAAATCCATGAATTGATTATATGATATAAATATATGCCAATCTATGAGAAAATTCTACTAAATCAAATCAACTTTCCTCAAGTAATGATGTTGGAACTAAAGTCCATTGATCGACCAATCATGAACTCAAGCATATACATGCGGATATGTAAACAAATTTTGATGAATGGTATCGTGCAATATTATTTATTTTCCATTGGTAAATGTTAAATTGTTAACTTGTAATAGAAATTTCTCTGTCCTATAAGAACATCCAATCTGTGGCACTTTCCTGATGAATGAAATATTCAAGGTACAAGCTAATTTTGTAAGACTACTCCTTTTCAGGATCTCTGCCCATCAGGAGCTTGCGGGGACAATGTTGCTGGAGCTACAACTGTAATTCCTTGAAAAGTTTTGATTTTATTAGCTGAATGTTGTCATTTCTATTCCTCTACAGCTTTATTATTATTGGCTAATTAATTTTTCATGCTATTTTATCTTACTTTTATGAACAGACAAATGGAAAGTGGCATCCACATGAATCGTACAGACCTGAAATTGATGATGCCCCTGTTTTCACTCCAACGGAAGAGGTTTGTGTACATTTATCTTACATAACTATTCCATGAGATATGCTGATAGCATAGTAATAGTTAGCTAATCGTTCTTTCCCTTCAGGAGTTTAAAGATCCAATTAGATATATTACGAGCATTCGTCCCCAAGCAGAAAAGTATGGAATTTGTCGTATTGTTCCACCATCTTCTTGGCGACCGCCTTGTTCTCTGAAGGAGAAGAACTTCTGGGAATGTACAGAGTTCAATACCCGTGTTCAACAAGTTGACAAGCTTCAAAACCGGGAACCCACAAAGAAAAAATCACAACCTCGAGTTCAGAAGAAGAGGAAGAGGAGAAAGAGACTGAGATTTGGGATGACTCACAGGCGTCCTAGTGCAAATACATCAGAAGACTGCGCAGATGCAGACGAGAAGTTTGGCTTTCAATCTGGCTCAGATTTCACACTAGATGAGTTTCAGAAATATGCAGATGAGTTTAAGCAGCAGTATTTTGGAATAAAGGGAAGTGACGAAATCCCTCTTTCTGAAATTAAAAAGAAGAAAAAAAATTGGCAACCATCGGTCGATGAAATAGAGGGAGAATATTGGCGGATAGTTGTATGCCCCACTGACGAAGTTGAGGTATTTAGTTTGCTATCTGTGCATCATCTTCCTATTTAACTATTAATACATACTGATAAGCATCGGACTCTCTTTGACTAGGTGGATTATGGTGCTGATTTGGACACTTCAATGTTCAGTAGTGGATTCTCTAAATTATCTTCAGATTCAAATAGACGAGATCCATATGGTTTATCTTGTTGGAATTTGAACAATCTTCCACGTATTCCTGGGTCTGTACTGTCATTTGAAACTGAGGATATATCTGGCGTCGTAGTCCCTTGGCTTTATGTAGGGATGTGCTTCTCATCATTCTGTTGGGTAAGCTTTTATTTTCTCATTGACCCATTTTTACAATGTTATCATTCTGTTGGTAATAGTATAATAGCCGTTTGCCTAGGTAAAAGTAATCTAATTAACTTCCTTGCTTGTTGAAGAATGAACATATTATTGCTCTATGGGATTGGAAAATGCTACTAGCCTAGTGATATTCTAACCTGGCAGTGCTATTCAATCTTCTTAGTGGATTAACATAAGATGAATGTTTACATAGTAGGAAAATATGTGATTTTTAATTGATTATGATAATTATTCTTGGCTGATATCTCTCTCTTGAACTTTGTAGCACGTGGAAGATCATTTCCTTTATTCTATGAATTACATGCATTTTGGTGAACCAAAAGTATGGTATGGTGTTCCTGGTGCTGATGCAGTGAAGCTGGAAGAAGCTATGAGAAAGAACTTACCAAGATTGTTTGAAGAACAGCCTGATCTCCTACATGAGCTGGTAACCATTTGAAATTGCATGTTTGTTATGTAATAGAATTGACCCTGTGATTCTAACAACATGAATTCACTGATTGCAAAATAAACTTTTTGGATATATTGCGAACTGGAAACAACTTAGCATCCATGTACTGAAATTCAAAGGAAAACATTATTTTCTGTTCCATTTTAGTACTCTATTTATTATCATTGCCTAGTGCCTACTACCAGTCACAAATTCTTGCTGACACTACACAGTGGTTCATCTGAGAATAATTATCTTCCTGTATTGTACAAATAAATATGCTGCATCTTCATTCATTTTCATCCTAAATTTTCATGGTGCAGGTTACGCAATTATCTCCTTCTGTTCTTAAATCAGAAGGAGTTCCTGTTTATCGTGTTGTTCAGAATCCAGGCGAGTTTGTTCTAACGCTACCGCGAGCTTACCATTCTGGGTTCAACTGTGGCTTCAACTGTGCGGAGGCAGTAAATGTCGCACCTGTGGATTGGCTGCCTCACGGACAATGTGCTGTTGAGCTCTACAGGGAGCAGCGGCGCAAGACATCCATATCACATGACAAATTATTACTAAAAACTGCAAATGAAGCTGTCAGACAGCTTTGGATGAACCTTAGCGACTGCAAAAGTGAACAAGGAGTATACAGATGGCAGGATACTTGCGGAAAGGACGGAATGCTGACAAGTGCAATTAAGGTACTCACTAGTTTAGGCCGTTGTTATTTATCACTGATTATTAATCAGCTGTGACTCAAAGGATTAACTCTTTCTTTTTCATCAAAAAGACTAATTACTCATATTTTGGTTGTACTATATTGCAGACAAGGGTTAAAATGGAGAAGGCAGCACGGGGAGGGAATATGGCACTGCGATATAAGAAAATGGATGGGGATTATGATTCAGCTGACCGGGAATGCTTTTCATGTTTTTATGATCTCCATTTGTCAGCTGTCAGCTGCCAATGCTCCCCAAATCGTTTTGCTTGCTTAAACCATGCAAACATTCTATGTTCATGTGAAATGGACAGAAAAACCGCGTTGTTGCGGTATACCATAGAGGAGCTCCATACTCTTGTTGCAGCTCTAGAGGGTGATCCAACTGCGGTCTACCAGTGGGGACAGAATGATTTAGGTTTAGTCTGCCCATCTGGTTCTACTCAGTACAAGAAGATGGACTTGGGTGAAAACACGGAATTTCCGGATTCAGCAACCAACGTCAATCATGGCTGCAGCTTAGGAAGTCAAGATCAATATCACTATGACCCCGCAAAGCCAGCAGGATACCAGCAAGAGAAGGGAATCCAGATTGCTTCAGAAAAACATGATAAGAACAAGATGGTTGTCAATCTTGAGTCTCCAGCAACAGCTAGTAATCCAAGCAGGTCAAAGTCTGACTGCAGTGGCTCACTGTCCTTGAATCATTCATCTGAGTTACCATCTTCAAGAATTCAAACAGGAAATTCTACGCTAGCTTCCATTACCACAGAGAAACTGTTTGGTGTTGACATTAAATCCAATTTAGCACAGTCTTCTGATGGCCAAGTTAGTCAATTGGCCAAGCCTTCCTCGAGCCAAACTGATGAAGTCTCTAAGCCAGCAATAGCTAAGTATACGGTTGAGCTGCTAGACAGTGGAACAATGATGATTGGTAAAAAGTGGTGCAATCAGCAAGCTATATTCCCCAAAGGTATATACACTGAACAATGCAATGATTATTTTTGTCTTCTGGTAATATGTACATCCTCCAGAAATATCACTAATAGAAATTCATCTATGCAGGATTTAAGAGTCGAGTTACATTTCATAGTGTACTAGATCCAACAAGGACATGCTGCTACATCTCCGAAGTTCTTGATGCTGGGCTTCTTGGACCATTGTTTAGGGTACGCTTTTATTATAAACGCTTCTTGTTTTTCTAAATTTCAGGATTTGTCTGCTTTCCTTCATTGTGCTCACATAAGCTACTGAATTAATAACAGGTGACTGTCGAAGGTCTTCCAGAAGTTTCGTTTACTCACACATCACCAATGCAATGTTGGGACAGTGTAAGAGACAGAGTAAATGAAGAAATAGCAAAACAAATAAGTTTTGGAAAATCTGGCCTTCCTGATTTTCTATCCTGCAATTCTTTGAATGGACTTGAAATGTTTGGGTTCTTATCCTCCCCTATAATTAAGGTAGATTTTTACGATATCCACAGTATTTATTTTTGTGAAACCTGGTCACTTCAAGTAACTAGTTGAATATTACACAAAAATTCTTTGTTGTTCAACAGGAAATCGAGGCTCTAGATCCCTGTCACCAATGCTTGGACTATTGGTTGTCAAGGGTTTCTTCTGTTGGAACTGAACTCCCCTCGGAATCTGTGATGGCAGCAATGGTTAATGACTCCACTAACCCCCCAATAAAGTTGCTCGGGATTGAGATTAACCGGAGGGAATCAGAACAATCAAGTAGCTTCAATAATTCCTGTGTGAGGAGGTCACACTTGGCAGGTTGCTGAAGAAGGCTAGCTAAGCTCCCAGAAGAACCAGAGCTAATGGCGATGAAAAGAAGTATTCAGTAGCAGTCTAGTGGATCAGATAGCAGTGGTATCATCTGGAGTGGCAATTGCCACTCTCCAGGATGAGATGAACAATAATGTAGATACATAGTGCCATGAATAGATCAGAAATTTCAGATAACTCATCCTAGACAGCTTCCCTAGGGAACCATTAGAATTGAAATAGAGCCACCATTGGTTTGCATTCTTCTAGAATTGCATTTCTTGATATTCATTTCAGCTTGATCCCAATTCATTTCTAACTTGATGGCAACAAGTTATTGTATTCTCTAATTGTTTCTGGATTAGCCAGTTTATTGTGACCAATGTAACAAGTTGATGTTTCCTGTCGACATAAAGCTTACATGTACAAACCTTGGCAGCTACCAATTGGAAATGAAAGGAAGAAAATGTTTTCGGACTTATGGCTATTTCTTCTACTTCAATTTAAATGAATTGTCTTTTCTTACCATATAAATGCGATGAATCTGTCCTCATTCAGGGCTAATGTTGCAAGGGGTTACTTTAATTGATTGTTTTGTCCTTAATAGTGATGCCAATTAAATCATACTCCCACCGATTTTTAAATATGCGCTGTTTTTGGCTTTTAGATATAACACTTAACTAATTTTTATCTAAAAGTATTTCTCATGGTGAATATCACATAACATAAATCTCACTATGTTTAACTATATCTAAATAAGTGAAAGGTGAAACCCTGCATGCAAAACTACAGTGCCACATCATTAAGTGATTATAAAGCATTCGATTTTCAATTCAGACATTACAGGCCGTTGGATCCTTTAATTGGCAAAAATATCTTCCCAGTCCTTTTAGAAATTTATTTTACAAAGAGTTCCTCAAATAATAGTGTTATTCTTCGCCGCCTGAACGACACCTCCCCTTCTCTCAGACGCCTCAGTTTCCTCCTCCGCACCCCATGCAGTGACGCAACTGTGGGGCTATCCTTCCTGCACCTACGCAGCATCCGCTCCACCATGGTCCATGGGCATTCCCAACCTCCTAGGTTTAGACATTGCCTATAGCAGAATGCATATGTGCTGTTCAATAGTCCATTGAAATATATGATTCAGCCAATAACTAATTAGGAAAGCAATTTTGTCCTCAAAGCATCATTTGAATGAATGCAGATGTGTAGATAAATTTATTCAGGCACCTCTTGCGGCAACCTGATAACTCAGTTATCAGTAACAATACCCTTCATTATTGCACTCCACATAATTGGCTTTCAGTTGCTCACCTTGCTTATGTTGGCCATTTACCTTCATTAGGTTTCAATTAATGTTATATTGCGTTCATATCTGGAAATAAAGAAAACAATATAATGAGAAAGTAATCTTAGGGCATGTTCAAAGCTAGAGCCCAGTGCAGGCTCTCTACACTCCATGTCAGCGAAAAAACTCCTATATACAAAGGATGGTCTCTTTAGCTGACTCTCCATTAATACAGGCTAATAAATGGCTAATAAATTCATCATGTATACTAGATCAAATGTAAATTTTAGCCTTCCATAAATTGTGCAAACAACAAGCTATTATTTAAGCAAACAGTAAGCTATCATATAAAAAAAGACAATGAGCATACCAGCACACACATACTATTATTTTAAGCAAACAGTAAGCTAAATTACATTATTTCGTTATATAGAGTAGTTCTACTTTTTTCCAAGCGCTGCCATATATGTGCAACTAAATCTTTCTTGAGTTGCATATGAGTTGGACGATCACGAATAGATGAATTCCTTCGTAGTACTGCAGCAAAGCATGGGTTGGGGTTGGAGGAGTTGCTCACTTCCGGTGGCAGAACGATTGATGCTCCTGGGTTCTCATTCAAATCCAAAGGAATTTCAGTCATTTCCTTTTCATCTTCAACTATCATATTGTGAAGAATAATACAAGCTTACATTATGTTGATAGCATCACCCCTCTGTCACATCCGGGCTGGACGACATACGATGTTAAAGTGAGACTGCAACACACCAAAGGCTCGCTCAACATCCTTCCTCTCTTCCTCTTGACGGGCTGCATATAATATATCTTCATCTGTCTGAGAAAGTTGTATTGTCTTCACGAATGTTTTCCACTCAGGATAAATTCCATCAGCAAGGTAGTACCCCGTGTTATATTGGTTCCCATTTACAGTAAACTGCACACGAGGAGCTTCCCCTATCAATGCATCAATGAACAACGGTGACTTGTTTAACACATTGATGTCGTTATTGGATCCTGTAGTACCAAAAAAAAGCATGCTATATGCGAAGGTCTTTCGATGCTACCGCTTAGAGGATCATGGTAGGAACTCCCTTGTCACCACGAGTAAATTGGCCGCGCCGAGAGACCGGGCAATTTTTTCATGCCCAATGCATGCAGTCTATACTTCCTAACATGCCAGGAAAACCACGCGACTTAGCAACCTGTAGCAATCTTTCAACCTCATCATTCCTTGGAGCTCGTAAGTACTCTTCACTAAATATTTCAATGACTCCTTTAGCAAATTTGCCCAAACACTCCAAAGCTATACTAGGACCAATCTTTAATACCTCGTCAAGTTGGTCCACCGGAGTTCCATATGCTAGCATATGAATGGCGGCTGTACACTTCTGAAGTGGTGAATGTCCTGCTCTACCAGTGGCATCCACTCTATTAGTAAAATAAGGAGACCATTCACTAAGGGCCTCCTCATCCGAAACCTCCTATGGAACATCTCATCGGTGTAGATAGGGGACTCGGAGAAGTAGTTGGCCACAAGATCCTCATTGCCATCTTCTTGGTTTCTTGGTATATACGGTCTTGTACCACTTTGACGTTGACAATGAGATGGCTCAGCTGTTATCTTGTCCTTCATCCTGATAATAATCTGCTCACTATATTCATCTAAAAACACCAACTCAGCAAGAAAATCATCCATGTTATATATATCCATAGGATCAAAGTTGTCGAGGTTGATGGCGGCATCGTCGTCAAGGTCGATGGCAGCATCATCGATGTTGAGTTCGGCGCCGACGACGTCAAGGTCGATGCCGGTATCGTCATCGAGATCGGTGTCATGGTCGAGGTCGACGGCACCATCGTTGTCGAGGTTGGCGTCAGAGTCAATGTTGATGGCACCATCGTCGCCGAGGTTGGAGCTAGCACCAGTGTCGAGATCAGAATCGTCGGCGAGACCATCTTCTAACTGGTTGATTTCATCGGAAGACACCATGTGATCTGACATACATTCATAGATACATATATCTCAGATTGAGATTCTGAAGATAAACATGCCCATCAATCATATCTTGGAATCAATCCCCGCATAAAAAAAAAAGAACAGGTAGTATAGTTTCAGTAACCTTCAATAAACAGTCATCCAGAAACAACCATTCAGCATGCACTTAGTAATAATATGGAAATGAGTTGAAAGTGTAAACTTGCATATATGGTTATTACATGAACGAAAGAATAATCTTATTCACCACACACCGCCAAGAGCGTCGTCGTTCACAAAGCGTTTCGATGGCCTCTTTCTACGTTTCTCTTCCAATGCCAACTTACACGGTAACAAAGTCATAAATAAAAATAAATAAAATTTATAAAACTACATGTACTTTGATGAAAACTATCGCAAAAGAATGCGCATCACAAAATTATAGATTTTGTGTTAAATTTATCCGATTTAAGGTATCATATAAAAATATAGATGTAGCATAATTTTATCACAAAACCACAATTGTTATAACTTATAATAAATAATAGTGCTAGGGATCTAAACTCTACAATTTGTAGTACAAATTTTGTAATTTAGTGAAATTTGTAGTTCTTTGATAACTTCACTAAATCTATAGTTTTGTGATAAATATATAGTTTTGTGATGCAATGACTAAATCTGTAGCTTTGTGATTCATGTAGTAGTTCTGTGATAGTTTGATCCACGTATATATAGTTTTGTAAAATTTACTTTTTTTAAAAAAGATATTTTGGTCAATTGTGATAAAGTGTTAAGTGGCTCATAAAACGACTTGCAAGTAAAGTGGTGCTAGTTAGATAGCCGTTCAGCTCCACGAAGAAGTGCAATTTTCTCACAAATATAAAACAAGACTGCCATATAAATGGTAGGAGTAAATTCAGTTAATTTTAGAATCTGCCATTGTAGGACACAATACTGCACTACTAGCAAATAGAGATAATAGGGAGACCATCTCTTGCAACAATATTCTAAGTTATCTCTTATTCAGATAAAAAACAAAATGGATAAAAAAGGATGCCAGCACTAATATTAGTCAGAGCACAACATCGATTGTAGTGGGGCATTAGATGCGTGACATTTTGATCTGTGAGGGATCATTTGGAGTTGCACTTTCCCATTGCTGCCTTTATTTGCATTGCCATTGGCATCACCGACATGTGGCACTACCTCCACACCTGTAAACACGGCAATTGGTTCATTCCCAAAGTCACTGTTACTGCGGAAGAACCTAGCGATGCAGAACCTGCCTGAGCCAAGGTTGACAAGTTGTGGATCCTTGCACTCCCTCCATTCCTCTGGCAGGTTGAGTTCCTTCCAAGGGCCCACTAGCTGTGGCTGGGAGTCCATGGCAGAGAGGTCAGCCGCAGCCAAGCGCCGGGCCTCAGCAGAGAGGCCAAACCAGAGGTTGAACTCAGGCACATAATCAATCCTGCCATGGAATGGCAGTGTCCACTTTGCCAACTTGGCTCCATGAGTGGCTTGCTGTCTCCAGGCAGTAGGTGCCGATGCCATTGACAGATAAGCAAATGTGTGAGCCACCGCCAAGCACAGCGTAGGAGCTGATCTCTGGGTCTGGGCTGCTGCAGCAGCTGTGACAGTGCTTGGGTTCACAGACAAAAGGCGGAGGTGGAAGTTAATGGCAGTGCCAGGCCTTTCTGTAGGAAGATAATGTAGACTTGCGGTATACGAAGGCCTCAAACTGATCGCTGTTGAAGCCCAACTCCGGTTTGGGAATCCTCTCCATGACAAAGAGGCTGCTGCCATAGCCATCATGGGAACGAACTACGAAGACAGACAAGGGCATCGACTTGGGCTTGTGAAGACTGGGCATGGTTCCTACCTCGCACGTATCTGCGTTGACGAGGAATGCGCGGCCAGACTGATCCGTGCAAATCACCTCGCGGCTAGCAAGCGGGAAACAGTCCATCTTCGATTGGTTGTTGACGTTGAGAGCTGAAGCTCGGAAGTTGATGCTGGAGAAGGGAAGCCCCATACTATCCATCATCGTGCCAGCTGCCTGTTTAAACTTTTGCCAGAATTCGCCAACCTTCTGTGTCGGTGGAGGTGTTGCCGGATAGAATAACTGCTGGTGCATCATGTCGAAGTACCATAGCGATTTGACATCAGGGTTGCGGTTGCCCACGATCAGATTAAGAAACCGCCGCGAGAAATCAATC